TCTGTGGCTTTAGTGTTTGGACCACTGGTGACCAGCTATAGTGGTAGCTGGATGCCCTGGGTTTCTGATCGTTTTTGGGGACTTTTCGGTGAACGGGGAGCAACATGTAGACAAAGTAGACCGTCGTCAACATGTATATATCATTGGTCTAAACACAAAAATACACAGATACCCATTCCCATGTGTGTTTCTTGCACAAGTGCCCACATGTTCATGCAGGTGACCGCTGATAGGCTATGTGATACAGTAGCAGGAACACTGGTGATTGAATCCCTTGCAGTTGTTTCTTGTGAGTAATAAGTAGCTACTAGTAGCAGGTGCATCGCTACTAGCAGCAAGAAGCCACTAGCAAAGGCATCGCTACTAGGCATTACTACTAGAAGCTAGAAGCTAGTGCATTACTAGTAACACGGGATGAATAGATGCAGCAGCAGCTGCGCACCGTCCTAGTCTGGTCCTTTGAAACGCTTCGATCTATGCGAACGGTGGTGCAGAATCCGCTTCAACCGCGAACAGAGGACACCGAACAGCCCTATAAATTGGCCAAACGGGTCACCGCAAAACCCTTGGTTGACTCAACATGAACAGGTGGACGAACCCCTGACAGGTCAACGAACCATGCTTTTGAAGCTGGTGAAATGACCCACACCCCGATTCACCACTCAACGCCCAAACCGACTCTTGGAGCCGACTCTTGGGTGCTCATGACATCCCTCACATGGCCATTGGCCGGCTTCCACGTGTGTGGTACCACTGCGTGTGTGTCCCGAGCGGCAGCTATGCGGCTCTTCGTACGAGATGTGGGAGGGCAGACACTGTCACTGGAGGCTGATGGCCAGGCGTGGGGAGGCTTCAGAGGTCAAATGCGGGTGTTTAATGGTGTTTATCAAGGAATATTTCTGAACTATTTTTTTGGGGGGGGACCATAGGTCTTGTAGTTGTACGCACGATTTCTACATACATATTCTGAATGATTGCGTCCTGGCATGTGATCCATTGGCTTAACCAATATGATTTTGGCGTTTGTGGGGCTTGTTGGCGGGGCATTCCCAGTACTCCGAGGAGTGGGTTTCATGATAAGAATCGTTGGCACCTGCTACAGTAACGATGATGAGCAAAATTGCTCCTTCCCCTGAAGGCTACGCATCTTCCACCGCTCTCCATGCATCGTTCATGGTTCGTTTGTTCCATCAGCTCTTATACTCCGGTTCAGGGTTTGGAACCTTGGCTCCAGCATGTCTTCTTCCAGGTTTTTCTCCGATCCTGCCAGGTGACAGTGGACCAGCTGAAAGCCCAGATTGCCTTGCAGCAGGTGGGACTCATGCTTCACCGGTTTATAGGATGTAACCAAGTTGTGGCATGGCAGGTGGCATGCAGGCATGGCTAGATCAGTTCGAATCAATCAGCGGCACGGCTGGACGGGTTCGGACACATCCACGGCACGGCAAGTGAAATGCGCGCAGGATGTACGTGGACCATCGCCCAGGACTGGTACCACGCCCTAACCCACGCCACCAAACTAAGCATTCTTTTGGAGTGATGGAATTTGTGCATGTGTTGCCCACGCTGATCCGCGTTGATCCGCGTTGGGCAGGGCAGCCCCAAGGTCAGGCACGGCAGCCTCAAAGTTGGCATGGAGCGTACGCGTGCATTGGATTGGGCACTCAACAACCTTTCTTTTTGCCCCCCCTCCTAAGCCTCGACTTCCTGTTGTTTTCCTACCATGTGCGTTTTCCATGAAAGCGTCGAATCGTAAATCCGGCTCCAGTGAGACGCAGTGCTCTCCATTAAAATAATATGAGTCTGCTTTGCTTTTTGAAGTAAGTCATGGAGGTTTTACCGCGGCGCAACACTCCAGCGACTGTAGCAAAAATGTATCTTTTAATCCAAAGTGTCCCGGTGGGACATTTACTGCAGGTGTGTTATGCAACTCGTGATCCCTGAATTCCCTGAATCCTTGTCCGCATTTTTATTTTTTTTGTGCAACCGTACCCGGGTTTGTGCCGTCCCTCCGTGGCTTCCAAATCTTGGTGCGGCAGGGTCCCTGTCACTGAAGCCAGGAGTGGTTGACCTGATGTTTTTTGTTGGAGGGCGGCATCTGTTTTCAGTCCGGAGTGGGTACGCCTTCTTGGTGCCTGCAGCGTCGCCGTCACCATTGCCTTCACCATCTTCTTCGCCGCATCCCGATTCCAACTGGTGCGACTTGTAATGAAATGTAGGGAGCGCGCTCCCAATAGAGGGGTCAAATAGAGGCAAAGGGATGTCTGGGAGCCTATGTTCCCAAAATCTATTATCAATGCTGTTATATGTTCCAACAGGGTCATGTTTATCTCGCTTCAATCTTCCATCCGAGCTTGGGCAAGTTTCCTTGCAGTGTGCATGGTCGATCTCCTCAGGAAGAAGGGAGGTCAGGGCGCTGGTCGCGGGCTGCTGGCGAAGCACTCTGTTCCCTCGTTCCACGGAGATTCTGCATGCCATGATCTTGATTTGGTTGCTATGTACCGACTTGCGAGTTGGCCACACTAGTAGTGCCTAACAACAGAATCAATCAAAACAGGTTCCTAGTTGGCCCGAAGACATGCTTTTGAACTGGGTCCATCAATTAATTGACTATCGCAGGGTGTGGGTATGGCCGTTGTCGACCAGATCCTGGGTGAGAACATTTCGGTCTTAGACACATAACGGAGGAACAACTGCACCCAACGTACCGCGCTGCCGCAGGGACTTCCTGTGGACGAGCAGCAGCTGATTTTTGGTGGGAAATCCTTGGAGAACACCCAAAGGCGGGTCTTTGGTGTTTGTTTTCTTGGCCTTGGCGATGGACAAAAGGATGCTAAGAAGGTGGCAGGGTTAGTTTGCAGACATCAGGCCTTTGGCCTTGGGCTTTGCTCAGAGAGAAGAAGGAGAGGGTCTGGGAGTTTGTAAGAATGTATGAAGGAAGCGACTTCCATTTTTCATGTGGCGAAGACCTGGAAGTCTTGCAAAGACCTTCTCCTCACAAAGACATCGAACTTTGGTCCCAACTAGCACGGACCCGGCCTTCCACACCCATTGTCATCCAAATGACAATGGTCCATGAGAAACACATAGAAACACCTCCACTTCTTCTGTGGACCGAGAGGTGGACCGAGAGTCTTCGGTCACGACCTGCCGAGTTCGAGCTGCCGAGTCGAGTCGTCTCTTTGAGTAAGGGTAGGCGCCGCCGACGTCTCTTTCAGTAAGGGAGAAGCTAGGACTCGCTACTAGGAGAAGTTCGCTCCTAGCTGCTAGCTAGGACACAGGATAGCTCACGTTTGATGGACACTTAAGTCCTCTTTGAATCTCTTTGTACAAACACTCGTTGGGCATGCGCCTGATGTCGGAGGACCCCCCTTTGTTTCTAGAAAAAGTCCAAAAAACAGGTGGCGCCATCCATGCACGTAACCATGATTAGTAGGATGTTCAAGATCCTTGGATCCCTCGTTGAGAAATAGGAGAGGTGCATGTGCTGCTTCAGGCGAACGCGGCGAAGGGTCAGGTAAATAGATACCAAGCTCGACCTGTTTGGAAGCATATTTCACCGATCAGGCCAGGGGTGGTTGAAAAAGGATCAATATACAAATATGCCATAAATATGCCATCACGGAGTCATCCTGAAGTGTTTGGATATCATCCTTCTTATCAGCCGTCTACCTCATCTCCAGTCGTCTACCTTCAGAGGTGGGTCCAAAGCAGAACGGAGCTCCCTGCCCTCCCTGCTTTCTTCGGCAGCCAAGTCCATGGAACTCCTTGGTCGAATGATGATCTCTATATAATTGGTGCAGGGGATGGGATGAAGCATCATGTAATAAAGTACAATTGATATATAACGTTTGAGCAAAAAAACTGATCGCGATTGTCACCCGTCACAAGTGGTCAAAATATGTCAAAATCAGGCGGAGACCGCATTTTGCATTGTTGTGCTTTTGGACGATGGGTTGCCCATGCATAACCACTCCAGCCCGAAAGGATTAGTAAGGATTGGGAACTCACCAAGAAGAGGAGCTCATGTGTGGTGGGATCTATGAGGGGCTGTTGTGGCCGGTCATCATCCTGATTCAGATGTGTTGGTTCTAAAATCAGCATCGGACAAAAATGGAATGTGCACAATCCGAAAGGCGAAGCACTTCAAAACGAATCAAACTCTTCCTGCTTCTTCTGGAGTTTTATTACCAAAACCTCTGTGACATGTTGCTCCAACATTGCTTACATTGACTATTTTTATCCCACCAGATCCATTTGGGCTAAAAACAGCTCCACACCACACCTGACAAAAGCCGGGAATCCTTGAGCCGTTTCGGCTCAAGCCCATTCAAGCTTCCGACATTTTTGCCGTGCCACAACCGGCATATTCCAAGCGCGGTTTTCGGAGGCCAAAGAGTGGGCAATGCGGGGGTCTGAACATTTTTCAACCCCCCCCCCCGCAAACTCACATGGCAGGGGAAAACCCTGGGTTTGTGAAGGACAGTTGTTTTCCGAGAGGCTTGGTTCCATTTCCATGTGATGTTCGTCAGAGTGGTCCCCCCCGGCAGATCCCACATGGGTTCCAACCCGCAGACCAACCCGACGTGGTTCCTCTGCAGGGAGTAGCATGTTGGTGACCATATTGGTTTGCCTCCATTTTTGGTGGTAGTTGCATCCATGAAAGGCTGATGGACCAAAGACATCATCAATCTTTGTGGTCCGAGGGATACCAGACCAATGTCAATGATCTTTGAACGACGAACTTTGAAGACTGGATGAGACTCAGACTTGCCAGAGGTTCTTCCACGTTTGACATGTTCCTGAACCTGACTTCATTCCTACCCTCGAAAATAGGACATGATGACCCATGATGAGAAAAACATACAGGTAAGAGACAGGCTAGCCTGGCACATTTTCCGTGGTACTCACTGAGGCTCTACTTATGAACTTGTTTTTGTTGCTTTTGTTAAGGAGGCACCACCACGGTGTTGTGCCCCGCTGTAGACTCAACGCAGGCCATGGCGGACTACGACGACCGGGTTGGGCTCATCGAGGATGGGCAACTTGCGCGCCGATTGGAGAGACCTGCCACATGTGGCAAAAAAAATGGTTTGTTCATGTTTGTTCTCTGGCCATCTATGTGGTAGGGTTTAGGTGGATTTGTGCCTTTTGGAACCTATTTGATTGTCCAGTAATTTGGTCATATAAACACACACCCACACTAAACTGGCTGAGACTAGAATTCACACTAAGAATGATTCTGATTTCATTGCATTTCATAACTTTTTCGACTCGGGTTTCATACTTCAACTTTCAATATATATATATATATTATATATAGAACTACTGATACACCACCATGCCACACAACTTTCAGCTATAGGCACAGGTTCTTGATGACATCTATCATGCAAAATCCATTCAAGGAGAATCTCCTCACGGGGTTCATAGAAAAAGGAAGAAAAACCATCCCGCCCTCCGGAACCATTCGATCCAAGCTGTCCGTCCACCGGTTGGCGCAGGACGAGCTGCCGGAGCAGCTCCCCGAGAACCTCCGCTCCGTCCGCGAGGGCCATTTGACCCATCGAGGTGGCGACGGTGAGATACGGTGAGCGGCCGGCATTTGGGCGGTGAAGCGGTGACGGAAGCGGCACCGGTGGATGGAGCTTGCTCCGTGTTCTCTTCTTTTTCCGGTTGGATGGAGCTGGGAGCTGGATGGAGCTGGGGGGAGGACTGGTCCGATAGTGGGTCCGATGAGAATTTGGGTTGACCTACATTACTGACGGGGGTTAAAGTTCGAGAGATTGATACAACTGAGTACTTCAAGGTGAACGCTTGTTTGGCATTTGCTGGGTTTGTTACTGTTATTGTTCCTTTGGATGGTTTACCGTTGAAGGGGGCGAGATCCAAGTGTCAGTAAACTTCCTGCAGTCGACCAACACCTTTTCTTTGTCACGGCGAGTGCCCCTGGCACGATCCCGCTGATTCTGGGTTTTTGTAGATTGTGCTTCTCCCAAAAACCTCCCTAAGACCCATGAACACTTCAGTGAATTCAGATCACCTGAACAGTAAACCCCACTGTAGAGAGAATCTCACATACACTCATTGATACCCTCACTATTTGCATCTATTTGCATCGAAGCACAGAAAACTTCCGGCGCAGAAGCGAACTTTGCATCGATCTTCAGTCCTTGAGCACCTTCCTGGGGAAACTCATCATCCACCTTCCTGCTCGTATAAGCTTTTTACTTGTATACCATTGACCCCTTCATGGCCCACCCCTCAAACCAGATCGGTAAGAAAAAAGGAGAGCTGCTCCCATGGAGTGTCTGGGCTTGTGTTTTCTGGAGAAACCGACCCCTCCAGGTGCCACCGCCCTCTTTCGCACCCTGCGCACCTTGGGCCCTGCCGCCACCGCGCTGCTGCTCGGTCTCGTGCTGCTCGCCGCCGTCACCCTGGCGGCCTTTGGCGGGACAGCGCGCTGGAGCGCGAGCGCTCCGGTGCTTTTGACCGACGTGCTGGATCCGGGCCCTCTCCAGTACTGGCACTGCTCGAAAGAGGCGGGACATGGTGGACGGAGGAGTGTGGACATGGTGACTCTTTTGTGGAACCGGGGGAGGTTGGCGCAGTTGAACCACGGCTTCGTGCTCTTGGTGCTTGTTGGTTGTTGTGGACAGTCGTTGGTGCCAGGGGGCATAGTGGGTTTGTGACCGGAGACCGGTCGGTCCCTAGCACCGGCTGGTGTTGGGTGAGGGAAGCCAGACTTGGAGCAGTAAACAACAACCATCACCTTCAGTTCGTGACCTCTTTGGAGGGTCCTCGGTCCGGGCTCTCAATAGGTCACTTTGAATGTCCTGCAACATGCAGACATTTGCAATCCAAATGGGGCGTTGTCTACTTTATGAAGCGCTTCTCCGGTCGGGAGACCTAAGTAGATGAAATATGATGAAACAAGCAGAAGCACCGGTGCCGGGTGGTCTTCCCAGAACTTTTCGTGACTCCAGTTAGGAGGAAGTTTACTGCAGCTCAGGGTAAGGTCAAGTACTGAGAAAGAGCATGGGAAAAGCCTCCTGACCCTGCGGCTGAAGAATCTCATCTGCGAGTGCGAACGTAAGCATGACGATGTGGCGTACGTTCCAAAGGCTGATGTGACGACGTGGCTCGTTCGTCGATGACCCCAACCCTGGGGCAGATCGTTCACATCTAGACCTTTCACGAGCCCATGTGACTTTGACCCAACCTGACGCCTACCATGGCGCAGATACTCCATGTCTGTCATATATATACGCCTACATTGGGGTGGTTTCGTGGGTGATCGGCAGTCCGCAGTCCCAAACGGGTCGTGTCTGGGTGGTGATGGGTCGACCCTTTTCGAACGACTCACGACCGGTTCTCCGGTCCGTCGCCGAGGAGATGAATGTGCCCATGCAAATCCTGGACCGCTCCAAGGCCAAGCGCGGCCCCTGGGACTTCGACTTCTTGGAGGTTGAAACAGGACCGAACCGAGGTCGAATGACGTGGAAAGACGACGCGCGGAAAAGGCCCTGCGGCAGATGGGAGTGATGGGATTGTTCAATGGCCAGTTGAATATCCTTGAGGTTGGAAGGAGTATATTGTACCTAGAACGTATTTGACCTCCTTTTTGATAGGAGAAGGCCAAACAATTTGGATAGCTGATCCTCCAAAACAGGGGGTCACTGATGGTGTTCGTCTAGTCGGTCCATGTTCTCACTACCTCAGTGGAAGGACCACAATGAACGGCTTCCCCAGGGTGCGTGGATACGTGTCGCAGCACAGCATACCATGGCACAGCCATCTACAAGGTTTGACTAGACCAGGTGACCCGTAACGCCTTCCGGGTGAAGATGGAGCAGAACCTGTATGGAGCATGGATTGGCCCCTGGCGGGTTGGGGCGAGATCCATGGGCTGCATATGGCTGGCTTGGTAGACTGGTCTTGTTCTCCGAACCTTCCAGGGGATCGGCAACGCCGGGGGTTCGGCTCCCTGAACCACACATCCATATATGTGATCGATGGATTCTAATAGCTTCTTGTTACTACTAGCAAGGCACTTGTTACTACTAGCGTGGCACCTGTTATTACTAGCGTGGCACTTGTTTCTAATAGCTTTTTTACAGATATAGCTGAATTGGAATGACGCCCCTGTTCTCCCCTTGAACTTCACTCCAGGAAACTATAAGCGTATCGTCAGCTTGCCCTCGATGGAACATGATGGATTCCATGGGGAGAAGCTGAACGCTTGTGCCATGAACAACCTAGATGAGTACATCTACTGTGTCCTTCAGGCCTGGCCTGGAAGACGGCCGACCGGCTTCCAGGAAAACGGTCAATGAGGGCACTCTTTGAGAGTGGCATTGGAGGTACAGAAAAACCACTGCCTCTCAACATGTTTATCGTTGAACTTGGTGTTTTGGATATTTAGTGGCCGAGCAGTCGGTAGAACGGTCTGTATCACTCGGAACCCCATGATGAAGTTAGTCAGCATGACAAGTTGCATGAATCACTGAATCACCATATGTACTCAGATGTTAGCAGAGGTTTCACGGACAATTCCCACATTCAGCTCACTGTCATATAGGCAGCCCATGGAAGTGTCTACGAGACCTACTGACCCACTGAGCTTTCTGGGACTTTGTGACCGCCCGCCTCCGATCGGTCCACTCAGCTTGTGGGAGATCTTCCAGGTCGATCCGGAAGAAGGAACATGACCAAACACATTGGTTGGGCGTCGGAGTCTCCCTATGTCTGATCTCAACGGTGTCATTGATTTACCCTCCATCCTCAGCCCATGTCGCGAGATTTCCGTAAGCCCGCAAGGGCTTGTGGGGTCTTCCATGCAAGCCTGCTTCAACTGAGTCCTTTTCTAAAAGCTCGCACGGCACACATCGCCGATGTTCGTTCTTCAGGGCAACCAGATCAAGAACTTGTTTTTGAAAGGCAGGGTTGGAAGCTGTCACGACCTGGCTTTTTGGAGGGCCAAATCAAATTTGGTGTGAACCTTCGGACTCCGAATGCCTTTCCGAAACACCAGTGAAACAGTGGTCCAAAATGGTGATGGTTTGTCCGTGTTTGTCCGGGTTTGTCCATGTCATGTCAGCAGGTGCGCAAAGACAAGAAGTATGAATTATACATTGTGCGGGTTGGCATCGTTGACTACGACACCAAATTGGCCGGCATCCACTTCGTCGCGCGCGTGCGACGCTGGGTAACTGTTGGTGGATCGTTCGTCTTTGTCAATTAAGGGGCTGTCGACGTTGTCCCAAATCCCCAGCATCCACACTTGAAATTGAGTTTCCCTTGGACATGTCTCAATGTGACCGGAACAAACAAATTCGGTACATTTTGGTTTCTGCCTGTCTTGTCCGTTTTTCAACCCTCTTAATCTTCATACACCTTCCGTTGGATCTCTTCCATGCACCCAGCCCAGCAAGCTTGCGTTCTTCTCCCAAGCGGTTCCAACTTTCTGGCTCTGTTGTGCATGGTGTGGCGTGTCTGAGTTTTTCATGAACATCCACCCTTGTAGGGTCCTATGAACTGAGCAGCTCTTCCTCAGAACTGCAGATGAGGGCCTAGCAAAGCTCGATACCACCGTCTGGGTCGCCCACAGGTCGCGACCCAGTTTCGGGCGACACGAGCTCGACCCCAGACGGTCGATAACCCTCGGTGGTGTTCAAGTACCCAGACGTGACCCTGGAGCCGATGGAGGGGCCAGACCCGAGGGGTTTTGAGGGACCAGTCGAGCTGTTTGGAGCTTCTGGGTATAGAACTCAGCACCACTCGGGCTGGTTCGAGACATCCCATCGCAGAGTGTGGTGCGTGGCACCTGCGCTGAGGACCGGGGAGCATCTACTCCGCTGCGTTCGACATGGACCGTGCCGGGTTCTCTTGAGTGGGCCAGGGTGGACTCCGGCAGATTGTTTTGGTGCGTGATGTAAGTGATGCTTGTGTTGTTTTCCCCATCCAAAAAGGATCTTCTGGACACCCAAGAAACTTTTGTCATTGCAACACACTTTGGTTCTTTTCTGTTTTCCAGCTGGTCAGCCTAGTTTGTTCCTTGAATGATGTTCATCCCGGGAAAGGATGTCCACCAGTTCCATGGAGTACTATGTGACCCTGTTATAATACAATATATTATAATATCATACATACCCTGTTTGTTATACATCAAGCCCCAGCCCACAAGCCCGACCCCAAAACCACATATATACCCGGTTTGTTATACAATATGTTATATGACCCTGTTTGGAGGAACTCGCTGTGCATCCACGGACCTCACATCCCCGGACGGGACCCGTCGAGACGACCAGACGGGACCCGTGACCCGTTCTGGTTGTTTTGGGTCTGCAGGGCCTGAGAACCAGCGGAAGACCCTGTTGTTTTGGAAGCTTTGGGTGAAGCTGTTGGTCGATTTCTCGACCGAATGCCAGCAAATTCTTTGGGTGAAGCTCAAATCTTTGCACTGCGTCGAAACGGGCCAGGCCATACACTGAAGAATCACTGAAGAAATTGCTTGAATTCTGATAAGTCGTAGCAAAGCTAATGTTTCTGGGTCATTCATCGATTTGGACTACAACTCAGAACCACGAACCGAATCTGTTGACACGCAGAGAAGAATTCAAGAAATTTCATGAATATATGATATATGGTTGCAATTTGGACGGGGATGGGGAGTAAAAGCAAGAACCACCAACTTTTGAACTGTTCCAAAGAATCACCAGTCTCAACATCTTGACCCTCAAGAGATCCTTCACCGCCTCTACATGGACGTGGACACCACGTCCACGTCTGCAGGAGTTTTTTTTCTTCTAGTTTGGGCCCAAGAAGCTGCACTTGAGGATAGGAACAAGAAGCTACTAGGGGCTCCTGGCATCGCTACTAGGAGCAAGGACGCTTCTAGGGGCTCCTGGCCATACTAGGAGCAAGGATGCTACGTTCGGGGCTCCTGCAGGAGGGGACCTTCTACTTTGGGCCCAAGAAGCTGCACGTGATCAAAGATCTTCACTTGGCCGAGGGCAAATCCTTCCTCCTGCGTGCCTGGGCGAACGGCTGGGCTGACGGAGTTCGCTTCACAGGGCAGGGGGAGGTTTCCCAAAGAATGCCGAAGAACGCGCATGCCCCACGATTTGGAGTTTGCACCCTCAGATATATATCCAGCAGATTCGGAGGTTTCCCAACCTGCTGTGTTCAGACCGAAGAATTTGTATCTGGTGTGAGATGATGTGCATGGCTTCGCAGTTTTTTCCAGACTTGCAAGGCAGTGAAGCCATGAACCTGATGAATGCGCCTGGGCTCGAGCTCGACCAAGAAGAAACGCCGCAAGCTGGGAGTTTATACACAATGTGCAACCGGAATATGGAATCTTTTCTACTTTCATGCTGGTTTTGATTGATGCATTCTCCAAATGCATCCTGCATGGGAATCTCCATGGAATCTCTCGGATTTAGCTGAAGAGGAACCAACGTGTAAGTGCCAGAAAGAATCCATTCAAAGTCATTCTCCCTATATAGTTTAAGACACCCTCCAACAGTCATGGAAGTGGATAACAGCCTCCTGGAATACTCCTTTCCTCAACAAACAGGGGGTCGTCCACTTCCATGTTTGTTTCAGGGAGTTGTCTTACAGCTTTTCCAGGTACCCGGTATACCGCCTCAAACATTTCACGGCAGCACGGCAGTAGAGGCCTCAGATGCCTGGACCGTCCGACCGATTTCAGGGAGACAAATTGTCTTCTTTGTTGTGGGTGAGGCGGTGTGGCGGTGAGGTGGTGCTCATGGGGCCGGATCCACAGGACGGATCTACCGTAGGCCTCCAAACGAAGAGGGGGAGTCAGGGAGACATTCATTCCTACTTGATTCCGTGCAATCAAATATGTAGTGGATTGAAAGGGATATTCTTGACATGCCCCACCTGTACTCCTTTCCAAGCTAAGTAGCAGCACCTCTCCTGGTGATTGTGCATAGCCTCGCGGCTATTGAGATCCAGTTTGCCTCTCAAGTTTTTTCAACAAACGTCCCTTGTGTCGGGTGTGCACCCGAGGCACCTAGCTACAAGGTTCACAAAGACTGCCAGGGCGCCGATTATGCCTTTTGGGAGAAGGCCGTCCAACACGGAGATGTTTGGTCAACGAGTCGTACAACTTCTTTGGCGTTCAACCAAAGACGCCAGAAGCTTCTAGTCAACTAAAGGTTACGTAGACTGTTGCACCAAGCCTTTTGGGCGAAAGACATACAAAAGGTTTCGGTCCCAACTCTGGGTTTTCGGTCCTAACATGTCCTAACACTAGACGTTGCTTGGTCGCCCAAACCACCCAAACCCCTTTTTTGGGCAATTCGTGAGCATGTTGTTTGTTTTGCTTATATTTGTTCGTGGTGTTGGGTGCTTTTCGTGGCTTTGTGATGCAAGAAGCGTACATCGTTTCACGGCAAAGCTGCGCCGCAGAGCTACCCGCCCGCTTTCGTCGCGAGCGATGGTGTTTCCGCCTCTGCGCCCGGAGGAAGTGGACGGAACGATGGTTTTGGAGATGGCGCATTGGCGCTCTCCTCACGGTGGTTTTGGACACCATTCCTTTTCCGGGAAAATCGGGACATAAACTGGATCAATCATCAGAAATCCATCTTCAAAAAGTCACCTGGCAGAGCTGTAAGAGGATCGATTTTGTGATCTTGCCCTATACTCTACCTATTTGGGTAGCTGCCCCTACAGAAATGACACTCAGCTCTTTGTTAGACAGGGAGGGCCAGGTGGTGTAAAACACAGCAAAAGACCTCGCCCTGCTCTTCACATGTTTTCCGTTCTGTCTTGTTTGGGTATGTTTGGGTGGCTCGCCCACCTGGAACAACAATTATATCATCGCCCAGATCGCTCGAGTCGTTTCTTTTCTCTTTTCGACGGCAGGAGGTGGATGGGAAGAAGTTGAAGATTCTTTGGATGCTCCGAGATTTCAAGGCCGGGCACGCCATCGCGCTCGAAGCAAGTGCTGTGTCCAGTGCTTGGCTTGCCCGAGCCGAACACCGCGGTGGAAGGAGCGGAGCGGTGACCGGTTTCGGCCACGTGTGAGGTGTGACCAGGTGGGACCGAGCCCGTCCTGCGCTCCTGGGTGACGGCCTGATGGACTACGGCAAGCCTCTATGCTGACTACGTGACTACATGACTACGGACTCGGATGAACCATGCAACACACCCCTGCAACTTTTCCGTGTAGGCCGCTTCAGCCCTGGAGCCCTGGTCGGTGAACGACCGACACCAGGTAGATCAAACCAGACCCAGAGCCATATCCTGCAGGTGTTTGGCCTCCGTCCCGGCGCCCCGCGTGGGCGGACCGCGTGGAGACCGGGCGATAACGTCTAACAGTCGAAGAGAGGCAAGGACTTTAGAGAGGCAAGGACTCCATTCTACTCTTTCATGGCCAAACACCTCCATTCTTCAAGCACTTGGGTGTGTATTTTTCAGCGAGATCTCGTCTCCGGCGTAGACGGTAGACGGTGTTCCTGGAAGAAACCAGGGGGTCGGGTTACGCCGGCGGTTCGGTCTCCAGTACCGCGGAAACGAGGGCGACTGACCGAAATACCACGTGAAGAGATCTTCGTGTGCTGTTTAAATATGAAATAGATTGAAATAGTGAGCTGGGTTCCGGTGAAACCATCCAAGTTCTCAGCTAGACTTGTTTCGGGAAGACATGACAAGTTGGCGTCACAGGTCACAGCCCTCGATGTGACGACGCCGGGACAGGCGACCTGCAACCCGGCGCCGCCAGGGGGAGGGATCCAGGGTTCGGCCGGGGTCGGCCGGCGGAAGTGTTTTTGGGGTCGTGAAAATTCAGGATGTGGTTCTTTTGCGATCTTTTGTGTATTATATTGATTTATCTTGTATTCATCATGATGTGTTTTTGATTGGTAATGTCTTAAACAGAAAAACAACAAGGTTAGGACAGGAGGCTCATGTGAAACATTCGATAGGAGCCGGCAGAGACCGGCAGAGTGTGAGATTTTGGCATGTGTCAGAGCGACAACACCTTGGATGACTCGTATGACTCGGATAGTGGTGTTGAGCATTGACTCGGATGACTCGCATTTCCCACAGCCCTTGGACCATGAGAGAGAAGCATCCGACTCCAGGACAGAGATCTATTGAGATCCACGGATGCTAAAGTTGTACATCACCATCCGACATGGACCCTTACGGTAAAACAGGGCAAACACATGCAAAAACATGCAAAAACCATCAAAAACCACCGAACATGAAGGCAGATATTCCATACATAGATTCTTTGGGCATTTCTACATCGATGTGTCGCTCGACACCTCCAGGGGAACGCAGAGGGGAATGCACAACAAAGAGACACGCACACACACACAAACAAACAGGGAACCTTTTTGTTTGAGGCTGGATCATTCTGTGAACAATTGTTTTGACAATTACTTGAACATGTTTCTGCACATTATATAGACTCAGAACATAGACCTCGTCAGCTCATGTCAACATGATAACGGCTTACAGTGGAATCAGAACTTCTCCTGCACTGCTTGGAGCAATTTCCCACTCAAAGACCATCATGTCACCTGGTGCGTCTAAGGAACTGAGCAGAACTTGAATCCACCAACAGCAGGACGCAGAATGAACAACCACAGGAACTAGGCGGTCCTACTACGGACTCCCCCCTTCCCGGTGCTTCCCGGGCCGTCCTACAACGGGGTCCCATTCGGCCGTCGGCCTTTCCATGCGTCGAAGTCTTCCAAGGCAAGGTCTGGAAAAGCGACGGGATTCCCAGCAACACCAGAGGTCTCTCGGCGCTCGTGACGGGTGCTTTGGGTATGCGGTGATGGGTATGTGTCATATTTTTGCATTGTGGGTGCCTCCTCGCTTCTGACATTTTTTGCTGAACAGCAAAATCCAAGTGATTGGTGCCTTTTGGCATGCCGTTGATTTTCTGATTTTTGGTTGGTGCCGGTGCTCGAGATCGCCGCGGCACAGTTGGGTATCATGGTCACGCCTTGGCCACCAACCGAACAGAGAGAAAGGGGGGGAAATCGAAAATTGGGCAGATGAGTCATGAAATGGGAGGTGCTTGTGGTTGAGTTGAGGTTGGGCCCATTCAATTCACCAGTCAGCAGCTCACCCCCGAGTATTTGGGGGTAGGGAAGAGATCAGCACTTCCATTGCCAGGTGAGGCAACATCTTAATTGAACGATGTTGAATTGACGTAGATAAACCCGCCCAATGGACAGTGGGATACAGTTGGAAGAGATTTCGCCAGGCTTCCAAGCCTGGATTTTTGGTCTACGTAGTTTCCTTCAGGTAGTCACCTTGAAGGAATCTGGAGTGTATTATATACAGGTGTATTACATGAGGATTTGGCCAAGTCTATGGTGTGGGTTGGCCTTCCTTGTTCCCTTATTCTTTCGGGGGGCTATTCCCCCATGACCATCTCCAAAAGGGTTCCTATGCCCACTTGGATTCACCCAGTTGACAAGTGAGCTCGTGTCATTCTGCATGCTCATCAGCAGGGTAGAAGGCTGTACTCTGCAAGATGTGGTAGTGGAGTAGTTGTACCCTCCCTGGAGCTAACATGGTTACGTGGATGGCACCACCTGTTTGTCGTGGATTTCATGGTCTTCTGAACTCGGTGCCATGACATCCACAGTGGAGTTGCTCCGATCGAACGCTCGTCTTCGGCCTCTGCTTTCGTCTCCCCCCACCGGCCACCGTGGTTTTGATCGCGGAGCGACGAGGAAATACATGTCCTTAGGACACTATGGCGCCGGGTGGACGTTCAAGAAGCCCGATGGCTCTGTGGCGGTCTACTTCTCCAACAACGCAGGTAGAGGCGCAGAGTTCCTGGCCCCGTTCCTGGTGTTCGCCAGCGTTCGTCACGAACAGTTCATGGTTTCAAGTAACATAGGGCGGCCTGTGGAACAGGAGTTAAACATTGTGACACTGTAGTCGTGTTTTGTATATTTTACATCTTTTTACATGCGTTTAATATGTATATATATATATGTGTAAGAATAATATGAACGAATGCCTTATCAATTTCAAGGGCGCCCACTGTTTTCCTTGAAAGGGTGGAGTTCAAGGCAGGAGGGCTTTCCTTCTATGAGGTGCTGATGCAGACCTTGGTCAAACAATGGCTTGTGGAGAGTCTTGAAGCTCCACAAACCACTTGGGGGTACCCCAGTCCTTGGGTCAGCCACAGAATATGTTCCATTTCACGGCAAAGGCTGTGGAAAAGCACGGATTTTCCGAACTTAAAACACAAACCTGGCTTTTCCACTTTAAGATCAGTCGTCAATTCCTTGGACCCCAGGACTTTTTTCCGGGCGAACCACGAACACGGCGGTTCCGAACCTTGGACCTCCGACTCCGGACGAGTTCGGCGAAGCGGCGGCCGAAGCGAGGCGTCTATGGGATTGATCACAGCCGGCTGGATTTGAACTCCGAAAGCTGGATGGAACTCAGTATGTTGTTCCTTTTTTTTGTGGAGGTTTTCGTTTTTTGAGGCTAGGTGCCCAGGCAGTTGATTTTTCTTGGTTGCTTTTGAAAGATTGTGGTTTGAAGAGGTTTGAAGTTTGAAGGAGGGTTAAAGATGAGTTCAGACATTCTGATTTGATTGACCTGTTCTTTTCTTTCTCATAGGACTCATAGGTCATTGACAGAATTATGTTTTTGTTGTTTGGTGTCATTTTTGATGGCCTTTTGACAGGTTTCAGGGTTTGATGTAGGCTATATAGGTTTTAAGCTGTATTTTGCTGGGTTTGACCGATGGTGTCTTATTCATTGGCCTTGGCAATGATTTCTTCACCCAGTGGTGAGGCCAAGCCAGGGAGCCCCGGGACTTCGGGCCTTAAAACAAGGCCACAAAAGCCCAAAAAACAACACAAGGCATCTCAAGTCTGCATGAATTATAGAGATTCTTTCAGCCAAACTGATTTGAATCTCCGACGCCTCCTGCCACGAATGCCTCAAATGCCGCCCCAGCCGGCGACCCACCGGTGCTTCGGGTTCGCGACCGCAACGCCCTGTCGTGCTCAGGACACGATTCACATGTACAAAGTGGGCGAGTCAGAGGCGAAAGTCGGCCCGGTGGGTCGGACCAAAACATGAGCCATTTCGACCCACAAAACTGCTTGAGCTAAGTAGATATATATCTATATATATAAATCTTCTCGGGTGGACCGTTTACTTGGCTTGCGTTTGTCTTGCCTTCGTGGCAACAGACCTCAGCTCGGGTGAATTCCATGCGCTGTGCGCACCGAGGACATAATTGGCACCCTTGACCTGACAAAGGCTTTTCATGGTGGTGCAGAATGGCGGTCAGGGTTGATATGGCTTGATATATCATGTGCTACTTTGCAGTGTGCTGCGCGTTCCACTACCCACTACCCAAAGGCTTCAATGTATGGATACCATTAGCGACGGATACACCGAAGAGATAATATCAAGATATATCAAGATATATCTTAAATATATTATGAGGGTTCTGGATTTTTTTACCCATTGGTGGTGGTGCTTTGATCCGACTGGCGAGCTGGGTAGTAGTTGTTAACTTAACAGCTTTTGACACAGGGACACCTAGTGGTTTGGCAGCCTGGAACACCTATTGCCAGATGACGGCAAGCTGTTCCATGGATCTTTGGATCGTTCACCGTTTTTGAAGGATTGCCATTAGCCAAGACCGAAAAATGAAACCAAAAAGGAGTGATCCTGTACATGTCAACAGCCAGGGTAGAGAAGGACAAACAGAGATACAGTGGTTTCCGAGTTGATGGCAGGGGGTCCATGGCAGGGGGTCCCAGCTTCTGTAAGGTTGCCAGAGGCAAGCGGAACGGAACGGATCTCGACCGAAGCAGCGCTGCACCTCGATCAACTGCGCCAGGCAACCAGTAAGAACGATGGTGCGAATTGTATCACGGCTTGCAAGCAGTGACATATCTGACAATGTTGGGGGTGATATTTATAGGTCAAAGATGTTTCACCGAATTTATTTGCAAAACTGTGTAACCTTTTGATATGATTCTGCAAACTGTGGATCGTTCTTCTTTAAAACAACACGTCCGTTCATCGGTAGCCGTTCGCTTCTCTCGGTCAACGCTTTTTTTTGGCAGCCCCTTTTTTTAGGGCTCCAAGGACCCTCTGAGCAGGGTGGAAATGGGTGGAAGATAATGAGGTGATTTTAAATGATTGTAATGTTTATATATAGACCGTAATTAGACCTGTTGTGACTCCTGACCTGTCATTTGCAAGCTAGCTTTTACCCGTTTGAAACCAGGCTGCGCACGGATGACCTAGAGTAGAAGGGCAGTGCATGGCGTTATCTCAGAACTCGCAGATCGAACATTTCGACTTCAATTCAAGATCTGAGAAAAAGTGCGGCTTCGGCTTCCATCCTCCTTCCCCTGGCCCTTGCTGTCTTCTAAGCTCTTTGGGGCCTCTTCCACTTCTCCTTCCGTCCTGTCTGGGCCCTCCGGCCATCGCCCCGTACATGTCAACGGTAGTCGTACAAAAGAAGGGCTGGGCTGGGCAGGGCTGAGGTGTCCAAAGGACGTATATGAGATTATATAAGATTATATAAGTATACTATAGTATACTGGATGGTGCTGTGTTCAAACATGTTCCAATGAGTTCCATGTAGCTGTGCCCAGGTATGAGCATGTCTTCAGTCTCGCCCTTTAAAGCAGAGCCACCGAAGTTCCTGGCGCCCATCGAAGAAAAGCCAGCTGTGGAAGAGAAGACAGAACCAGAGCCAACTAAGGAGATTGCTGGGCTTAGGGAATGCTGGATGACCCAAAGAAACAGCATCACACTGACATGTTCTGTGTTTTCTGTTGGCATGCATAGAATCGCATCGACAATTACTAAACTTAGCTAGATATTAGTTCATTCAATTAGCTATTACATAAGTATATCTATGTAGTATATTATACTTTGGTATAATTTGGTATAATATTTGTATGTACACATTTTGTTGATTATTTGATCAATTTGATAAAGTTGTTTCGAGTAATACCAGGGTCCGATTTGACGAAGTTTTGACTGGTGGTCCAGGAAAAGACGCCTCCGCCATCCAAGGAGATTGCTGGCCGGTCTGGCTGGAATCTTTTGTGGTGCATAACTTGAAGAAGCAGTCATAATGTCTTGATTCTGGATTGTTCCCCACCTGCCAGGTGAGGGTTGTTAGATTTTATCACAGCTGTTCTTCCTCCGCCTCCGCCTCCGCCTCCGCCTCCGCCTTCGCCTCCGCCTCCGCCTCCGCCTCCGCCTCCGCCTCCGCCTCCGCCTCCGCCTCCGCCGCCTCCTCGTCCTCCTCCTTCCTCCTTCCTCCTTGCTTCCTTCCTCGCCAATCTGCTTCGCCGATCTTGTCTGGCCAGCTCCGGATCGCAGTGTGCACCCCTGGACCTCAACCGCAAGGATCCCCTCGCAGTGTGCACCCCTGGACCTCAACCGCAAGGATCCGATCGCAGTGTGCATCCCTGGACC